TTTTTTTTTTTTTTTTTTTTTTTTAACGGGGTTGGGGTTGGGGGAATGGTGGTGGTGGTATTTAACCCAGATCCCTTGGGAAAAGCACAAATGTAATAATTAAATTTCAGCAAACTTTTCACAGCAGTATTTTCAATAGCATGTGACTACTTTGGGCATTTTTATTTCCATAATATTCTTACATAGTGAGAGATTTTCCTTGATATTTCTTAAATCGCAGAGATTCAGCTGGAATAAATCTTATGATGTGACTGCCATTGTAGAGATGTTACAACTGAGGTATAAGGTTACATTTTCACCAAAAAAAAGGATGTTTTGTGTTTTTTTCCTTTTAGTGAGTTACACCAGTCTTTCTGGGAAGAATTGTTACAGAAAGGAATGACACTATTGTAAGTATTCATTACATTATTTTTTTGCGACTTTAATTCATACTTGACTGAGCAGTTAGAAAAGGCTGATTCTAGATACTCTAATCAAATGTATAGGATCTGTACACACATACTCACACTGGACATTTAAATAATCATTAATTTAATAATACCAGAGACTTTTACAAGAAGTATAATGGTGGCTGTCTTTATTTGTATTTCTGGAGCATCAACTGCCTTGTATATATTTTTGTTTTGTTTCTTAGCTAAGTGAGTACAAAAGTCAAAGATAAACATTTAGTTACATTTAACATATGTAGAAACTAAAAGCCTCTGAGTAAGATTTATTAATACAAGAGTAGACAACATTCAGTATTAGGGACATTTGGATATTGAGATCAAAATGGGGAGAAAAAAAATTTCCTATGGTCCCTGAATAAGAGAGCTTACTACTAAATTCTTCACTTTTAAATATAGAATAAAATTCTATAAAAGATACTTTCAGAAACATGTCAATTAAATTTTGCTCTTAGTATACTTTAGCTCCAGATTGATTTTAATATACTCTCATTGGGTTGACCAGTGCCTGTGGCAAATTATACATAGGTACTCAGTAAATATGCCACAAAGCAAAGCATTTAAAGAATTTCTTAGTTCATATTTGCTTTATGCGTAGAATGGTTCAAAAATAATTTGGAATCCCTATAGAATCTATCAATTTAAGTATGCAGAACTCTGCCAAAATTAACCAGAGGTACTAAATTCTTTTTGTAGATGAAGTATCATACTTTGGAATATGAATGACCTTCAGTGAATTTACTCACTAAAAGATACTAAGGATTATATTTAGTAGTTCACATGACTGCTGTATATAGCAGTCTAAATAGGTATCAGACTTCCAGTCTTTTAAGTAAAGATATCTTGAAATATTTATGTGGCACATCTCCCAAAACTAAAGTTAAACAGCTTTGTAAACCCCTCTCAAAGGGGAAAGAAATAATTAAAATTCTATTAAACATATTCTTGTTTTTAGCCTGTGAATGTGGTAGTTTCTAAAAGCAATGAAGATTCTTCTGAATATCATTTTCATGCTTCCAGCTAGTTCTTACTCCTCTATCAGCTTCATTGAATGTTCACCCCTATGAAGGTATTTAGTTTTGTAAAAAGTCTAGGTTTCAGGGAAAGCCCTGTTTGTCTAAACCAAACATGAGTTTCTCTAAGGAAGTGTCATTTTTAAGAATATGCACACAACCTTTCATCACTCCTCTCTCAGCCACCATAAAAAAGGAGTACTGATTATACTTAGAAAAGATTTTTTTTGTATTTAATGCAGTGAATGTATAGTCAACATTACCATTGAACTAAACATCTGAAATTTCATAGAATGAAACAAAAAGAAATTAGTCATCTGTTAATGGTTACTATCCACTAAGTACATCTGAAGTCGTAGAATATCAGGCTTGTAGACATTTGAGTAGACACTGTCATCCTGAAACGTAAATCTCACACAAGATATAATCAAAAGTTATTTCAAACAAATTATCCTATCAATAAACTTTCTGTAGTAACATCAACTTCACAGAGTATTATGTCTTAGCAACACACAGTGATGGTATACGGATGTAAGCATTTCATTACAAACAGGAAGCACTAAATAGAGCATATTGAGGTCAAAGCCTTTCTGTAGAAAGGGATTTAATTGACATTCTTTCAACCATAGTGTATAAACAGATCAAAATAGTTCTATCATAAGAAATAGTATTTAACAACATAGCTTTAAAATAAAAATACTTTAAAAATCAGCTTTGATGAGATTAAATTTATTTTTAAAGAATCTTTAGAGTGAAATATATATTTCTTGCTTCTGGCTTTTCTACATTTTTCCAACATAACCCCCTCCTTTACCCTACCCCAATCTATTATTAATAAAGTAGTGCAAAACATTGTCTGTAGCAATTTCAACCAGGCTTAATCCCCTACCAAGTTGGGGGGAAGTAGGACATTCTCACCAATCTTACAATCAAGGGCACACTCCCTTGACATAACAGGAAGTTAGATAGAAAAACTACCATAAGAGTCTTGGGAATGCAATTTTTAAATATAGATTCTATAGTAAGTAGTGAAACATTTTTAAAGGCAAACTCCCCCTCCCCATAAGCAATTTATTTTACAAAATAGGTTTTCATGCATTCATATTATCAAGAATGATTATTTTTTTCCATAAATGAATGTAATGAAACATTAGCATATCACTTAGCACACTGCATTCTCCTCTACATTACAATTCACACTAATAACAAAAATCATAGTATGCATTAAAGACTTCAGTAATCTAATGAGAGCAGATTTTTTTTTCTGTGAGAACACGTGAGTATTAAATATTTTTAGATATACAGAGGTATAATCTGACACCAAAAGCAATATGGATTTAGTTTGCTACTGGAATTTTGCTGATTTGCTAACTTGGTACAAATTAAAGAGTGGTAGGTATAAAAATTCAGATAGGCAATCATTTATAAACCTGGCAGTATTTATGTGTAATCCTGTAGAGATTTTAAGGTTTTAGATGGAATGATAGAAGGTTTGGAAGTTTTCTTTGTAAGATTTCAGAGTGTAGAAGATTCTTTTGAGGGGGTAAATGTACCTTCACTCATTAGCTTTAAATCAGCCTAGTCACATCTAAATACTTTGCTTAGGAATAAACGTCAGGATCTGAAATCAGAATTTATGTGAAATTGAAATGCATCTGTTCCATTATTCACGTCTTGGGGCTCCCTCCTCCCTTTTGAAATGTATAAAACATAGAAAACTGTAATGTACTTTTCAGATAAAAAATAGTCACATTTAAAAAAAACTTTAAAATCAAATAGGCATTTACATGTTATATAGATTTAATCAGAGCGAAGCATTTACTCTAATCTGGTTCTTCCACTTGTAATGAGAGACGTGTGCATCTCCCAGTGTTAACATTCTTATATTTTTTGTTCCATTGTGTTATTTTATTAGCCACAGCTAACAAGACTTCCACACAGCAGTAAGCAAATCTTTATCAAATTGATTCTGTACAATGGAAGTATATTTTCAAAGACATATGCCCTTATACACTATTTACAGATTCTCTCAATCATTTAAAAAATGGGGGGGTGGAAGGCGTAAAATAAATAAAAAGCAGAAAGGAAATGCTGCTGAGGCTTGAAGGCTTTTTCTTTTATCTTCCCAAACAGATGCTGGTCTTCTCAGTGCTGGGAGCTAGCTAGCCAAGATTGTTTTTCTTCCTTTTACATGGGCTATGAGAGGGATCTGGTTTCAGCTCTTGGTATTGCACCTGTTTAAACAGAGTTCAGAGAAAGACTGGTCAGGTGGCCACTTTCTGGCAAAGGAAGGAAAAGCAAAGGAATGAAAGACTGCTTGGAGGAAAAAAGTGCTCACTCTGAAAGCTGTATGAGATCTGCAGCTGGGATGCAGAAAACAATAGAATGATACAGCAAGAGTCAGAAAGGAAGTCCTGCCAGAAACGACATGAGCGCCCCGATGTGAACTTTGGTAACAGACTGGGTTTTTTTCACTGTCCGTAATACATTCCATTAAAAGCAAAACCATCTCCATCTATTCTGAAGGGATGGATAATGGTTCTTTGCAAGTTATTGTTTTATTTAATATAGGCTTAATCTCCATCCAGCCCACTCTTGTCTGATACTAAATCAAAAACTCAACTGAAAGGAAAAAGGTATCACTGTAACCCAGCTTCAAGATTTTAATAAAAACATTTCTCATTTTACTCAGAAAATAGTTGTTGAGTAATGGGCATTAATTAACCTCAAAGTTTTTTTAAAAAATCAAGATGTGCTCTTGTCTTCAAAATGCCGTCACTTTCCCCACTCACTCATTCCAAATATGCATCGTTAAAATTCATTTAATTTGTGCAAAGAAGTGTTTTTCTCCAAAATGTCCACTGGCACACTTTGCTTTCATCATCTAATATTCCTATTTCCTTCTTTCAGGTAATGGTGACTTCCCTTCACAGACTCCAGCTGAACCTTCCTTGGAGCTTTGTCCCGGATGGCTCTAGTAGATTCTTTATGCAACCCCTCTCATTCACCATGTTTCTAAGTTCTAGGCTGCACCCCAAGTGGGCTAAATTTCTCAGTGGCAAAATCAGTTACAGGCTTTATTAACTTTACATCTCTTTTCTAAAACCTTTGAATATAAAAGTTAAAAACCAGTGCTACCGTACATTAATATAGTACTGATAATAATGAAATCTACATACCACTTGTACATCTGAAGGGACTCTGGAAAGGAAGTCAAGCAGTTCATTGTTGTCAATTGCATAGGGACACCGAAGCTTTTTTGTAAATTTATTGATGCCTGAAAAAGTGATAGGTCAAACATTATTGAAATCTCCATAGTTTTGGAAAACACATTTCTGGAAAATGTATTAAAGTGATCAGAAGATCTAAATTAAGCTGCCCTTTAGCCTTGACAATGAACCAATAAACCCAACTCCCTCCCTCCCCTCCTGTTTTTGTCCCTTTCCTCCCTCCTTCCCAACCCAATGTCTGTTTTTCTCTTTGTACTTTGTCCTTTGCAGGAAAAAAGGCCCTCTGTTTGGGAAACAAAAGGCACCTGGCAAGAGACAGTGACCTTATTTGCTTCTCTCCGTGTTACAGTACTTAGAAGCTTTGTTTTACTGTCCCATCTATGATGAAAATTGTCTTCCTGCATTTTGGATTGGGATTGTTTTTAAGGCAAGAAGTCTTATTTATTGGTTTCCTCTGATAAACCTTTTTTTTAAATGTGTGTGGAGGGTTGAGGGAGGTGTCACTGTTATGTTGACCTTAATTTTATTTCAAAATTACTTTAAATAAGAAAGGATTTACTACTAGCTTTAAAAAAAACAAAAAAGCATCTTTGAAGATGGTGATATGAGGATCCTGAACTCACCTCCCATGAACACATCAAATCTTCAGCTGCTTATGGAAAAACTTTCTCTGAAAACTGACTCAGTGAATACTACACGTTGGACAAACAAGAAAGGCCCACATGGAAACAGGTAGGAGAATGGGCACAATGTCATCATAAACCCCATCCCCGGTGCAGCACCCATGGTCTGGAGGGAACTCCAGTCCAGGGTTTGGACCCCACCTCAGGCAATCTCAACCTTTAAAACCTAATACCTGAGAGACGAGCCCCAAAAACACCTAGCTTTTTTTCCTTCCAGTTTTATTGAGAAATAATTGACATACTTTATTTACTATATAGGTTTAAGGTGAAATATGAAATGATTATCATAATAGGCTTAACATCTATCATTTCATATGGATACAATAAAAAGAACGGAAAAAATATTTCTTATAATGAGAACTCTTAGGACCTGTTCTCTTAACAACTTTCCTACATATAATATAGCAGTGTTATATTTCACTTAGCGTAATACCTCTTGGTCCATTCGTGTTGTTGCAAATGGCAAGATTACATTCTTTTTTATGGCTGATTAATATTCCATTATATATGTGTGTATCACGTCATCTTTATTGGATAATTTGTCTATTGTTGGACACCTAGGTTGCTTCCATATCTTGGCTGTTGTAAATAATGCTGCAGTGAACATGGGGGTACAGATATCTTTTCGAATTAGTGTTTTGGATTTCTGTGGGTAAATATCCAGAAGTCGAATTGCTGGGTCATATGGTTATTTGTTGTCCTTTTGACAGTAGCCATTCTTACTGGTGTAAAGTAATACGTCATTGTGGTGTTTGTGTGTGTGTGTTTCCTCAACCAAAGATGTTTTTTTATGGATTTTTAGAGAGAGAAAGAGAAACATTGATGGGTTGCCTTTGGTATATGGGATGATGCTCCAACCAACTGAGCCATTGTATATCTTCTTTGACCTAGGACCTGATTAGACATTTTTCCAAAGACGATATACAGATGGCCAACAGGTATATGGAAAGATTCTCAATATCACTAATCATCAGGAAAATGCAAATCAAAACCACAATGGCATATCACCTCACACCAGTTAGAATAGCTATTATAAAAAAAGACAAGAAATAAGTGTTGGCAGGGATGTGGAGAAAAGGGAATCTTTGTACACTGTTGGTAGGATTATAAATTGGTGCAGCCACTACAGAAGAGAGTATGGAGTGCCTCAAAAAAATTAAAAATAGAACTACAATATCATCAAGCAATTCCATTGCTGAATATTTAACTGAAAAAAACACTAACTCAAAAATTTATGTGCACCCTGTGTTCATTTAACATTATTTACAATAGCGAAGATACAGAAATAACCTAAATATCTACCAGTGAGTGAATGGATAAAGAAAATGTGATATATAATGGAATGTTATTCTTACATAAAAACAGAACGGAATCTTGCCATTTGCAACTCCGTTGATGGGCCTTGAGGGCATTATCGTAAGTGAAATAAATCGGAGAAAAACAAATACCGTCTGATCTCACTTACGCGTGGAACATAAAACAAAAATGAGTTCATAGATACAGAGAACAGATGGGTGGTTACCAGAAGAGGAGGTTGGGTGAAGGGGGTCATAAGGTACAAATTTCCAGTTATAAAATAAATAAGTCATGGGGATTTAATGAACAGAATGGTGATATTAATAATACTGAATTTCATATTCTAAAGTTGCTAAAAGTACATCTTAAAAGTTCTCATCACAAGAAAAAAATGTTTCCACTTCTACATCTCTGATATTGAGATTTTTTAGAAACCCGTTTTTTCCTTTTAAATTACAAGAAATGTACATTTAATGCTTGCAAAAGATGCTACCATGATTGACTTATGTGGATCATTCCTTGGATTAGAACAGCCAAAAACCATTAGAGACAAACATCTACCCATACTAAATTATTCAACAGTTAACCTCTGTACTACCTGAAGAGTCAGTGTGGATAAGGGGTCAGTACATGTAAAATCTAAAGATAATATATACAACTCTAAGTATCTATACTACATATTCTATGGTATATTGTAGACTTTCAATGTGACAAGTCTATTCTTTTAAATTTATATTGCACTTAAATTACCAAACTTATACACATAAAAATATATAAACAGCTTTATATGAAATCAGTAGTCTGGTGAAACCTGGGCCATAAACTAGGGCATCTTAGTTCTTCTTTAGTGTGTGCAGCAGAATAATTTTCTTCTGCAATCATGATTTTGGTCCCTATGTCCCTACGTGAGGCTCATCTGAAATTTCTGGTTAATATTTCTCCAGTCACCTACCACTAAAGGATTACTGTTCTGGTTTTATTTCATTGAATGAAACAAGAGGCCTAAACATATTCTCTAAAAATTGCATTTAAGACAGTCAGTGAGGCGACCCCAGGTTACATAGCCAGATGTCTGCCATGAGCTCCAGTTTCCAAGAACCTGGGGAAACGAAATCAGAGGTTCACCACCTATCACGACTGAGATGGCAGGTCTGACCCTAGGTTGGTTAGAAGTAATAAACTGCCACACCTAATGCTCTACCCTAATTCCTTCGCTGTAGCAGCATCTGTTTTAAATATCAGAGGGAGGAATGAAAAAAAGATGAGGGCTTGAACATAGAATAGGGAAACAAGAACGTAGTGGAAAATGCCTCTTCCCTAGCATAAAGTATTGCCTTAGTTGAAACTGTCTTTAATAGAAATTCAAAAAGAACAAAAATCACCATTCCCCCTACCCAAGGCACAAAGGTAATGTCACTTATGGTAAAGGGGTAAGGGAGCTTATTCATGAGGCAAAAAGATAGGCCAAAAAGAATAGGGAACTAGGAATCTTAAAACTGGAGGGCTTCAAAACATCAGACCCCTTCTCACTTTATTCCAGCAAGTTGCTTTAAAGCCTTAAAAATAAAAGAACAAACATTCTCTTTGCTCTTTTTGCTGTCAGTGTAAGCGCATATTTTATGGAGTTAAAGACTCATTTTGGTTCTTTGCATTTTGTATAGGTTTAGCATTCTTAGGTGTATGGAGGCCAGGGGCAAGTAGAGAATTCTACTTCTACCCAGTTATATGTGTGTATAATTAATGTCGTCTTTTTATATGTTAGTCGGTCTTGGAGACTAAGAATTGAATTTTCCAAACCAAGAATTTTGTCAGATAAGGGGAGACAAACCCCTCAAAACTATGAAGAATGCTGAAACTTGGTACATGAGAACTGTTGGTATGCAGCATAAGTGCATAAAAATTAGGCCAAAAATATCACCTTTAAAGTGTGTTTTTGCAGTAGCATTCTTACTTAGTACACATAAAGCAGGTTTCTTGTTCCTAAGCAGCCTGTCAATGCCAGGGCCCATTTTCCTCTATCCTAAAGGTGACCTCTTAAACAGGTGGCCATACATATATAGTATCATGCTAACGGACTCTTCACGAGACAAAGTACTGTAGCACAAAAGCATATTGTCCTAAATGTACCATATGGATCAGAATGCCTCTGTTTACATATAAGTGGTGAAAATAAGTCAGTAATATCTAGACAAAGCTACTCTTTGGTATATGAAGAATGTACACAACTACATGTTTATAGTATGATGGAGCCTATGGTGCCACGTAAGAAAAATGCATTTTACAGGTAGATTTAAATCTTTATACGGTTGTAATTTTTAACCAACTTACTTGCTTGTACTTCCCTTGCTTCTTTTCATCATGGAGTAGTTTCATGACCATAAATATGGGGAACCACTGACAGTATAATTCATTCCTTAAAAATAGTTTGTTCTTAGCAAACTATTTTAATTGTTTAAGACAATTAAAAAAAAAACTTTACTTACCCCAGACAAGGACAATGTATCTCAGTGGAATGAAGTACAGGACGACTGTGAACACACAGAGGGCTACAATGGCCAGCCAGCTTAGGAAGGGGACCGTCCAGTTGAAAGTACTGAATGAGAAATTAACACATTAGCAATCTGGCATTTCTTATCAGGAAGTGAGGAGGCCCCCAGGGACATTTAGGGAAATATGAAATTGTACATGATGTAGATGAATTTTAGTGTTTTTTATTTCTGATTTCCTGGTAATGTATGTTATATTCAGTTGGGGGGACGGGGGTTTGCCCTGGGCAGTTTTTGATCCAATAAAGGATGATTGTTAAGAGATTTTCTTTCTGTACCGTCTCAACGTGACTTAGGAGTTGTTCCTTAGTTTTGTAGCATATGACTTGCTTGTTGCGTCTCTCTAGGTCAAATGTTTCCTAATTTTTTAAATTTATTTTTTAAGTAAAAGGACCAAAGTTGGATCAATCTGGTTGCCTTGTTTTCAGTTACTCTTAGGATCTGACTGGCTTTTCTGACTTTGTCTTTTTCCTCCCATGGCCAGAGTGAGCAACCTGTAACTGTTGCCAGGTAAAGGATCATGTATTCCCTCCCTTACTCCTGTACTTCCCTTGCTTCTGCTGCTTGTGGAGAGAACAGAAGGCTGAGGGTCTGCTTGCTTTCCTGTGGCTCAGCTCAGAGCCATCCATCACACTGTTCCATGGGCAAGGGCACTGGCTCTCCCCTCAGAAAACCCTCCTTCTGGGCAGCTTCACTGAAGGGCTTCCTGTGTTCTTTCTCCTCTTGGAAAAATAAATATCCAAGAATCCTTACCAGTGTAGGTAATATCGGCGAAAACGGCTGCCCTTTCTTATTTCCACAATGCATTATGGAATCTGAATCTAGAATGTAATCCCCCCCACGCACACACACACACACAAAAGATGCAATTCAAGAAAGTTCTGGAATGAATAGTAGTAACAAGATGTGGTCATTATAGAGGCTTTTCACTTTGTACTTAAAGATTGCTTCTGAAGCTGCTTTCTGGATAGACGCAGTTTATTCCATATGACCGTAAGGGAATTTCTCTCTTTAATATTCAAAAGATTAGTGTGCATTAAAGATGGCTCTTGTTAGACTCACTGGATCATATGCCATGCTCCTTTATCTCAGCCTATACTTATACCCATATCATTAATCTACCTATGGAAAGTTCCACAAAACCCAGTTTACCCCAAGGCTGGTTCACAGCCAGGATCTGGTCATATTCTTCAGCTGGCCATGGTGTTTTCCGGCCATGCACCTGTTCTGAGTTCTCCTACCACCCAGAGTTGTAAAGCAATCTCTTCTCCTCAGGCATTCACTAGCCCAACCTGAGCTGACCCAAGGTCTTGTATGAGATGCTGCCATCAGGTATTAACACCCAGTGTAGCTCAGAGAAAGGACAACACTCAGTGGGGAAATGCCCTGTTTAGGACTTCACCCTGTGCTTCAGTGGACTAGGTGTGGAGAACAGGGGAGCATTCTTAGAGACGGAGAAAAAGCATCAAAAAGAAGGGACGGACAAGACAGAATCGATTTTCAGAAGTCTGGGAATGAATGTTGTTTAGAGGCACATTTGTGAGTGAGAGGAGGCTGCTCTGTCTGATATGAGAAAGTAGAAACTCAGCATCTATGCATGTGTGGGAATGTATGAAAAAAATTATACAAAATAAGATGCATTATCCCTTGAAACATGAAAGGCACCAGATGAATGAATCACACCTTTAGTTTAAATAATTTACTCCTCTCAAATTCTGTGTATGCCCAAGGATCCAAATCTGCAGAACACTTTTGGTTATGAAAAATAAACAATGATTAGATATGTGAAACTGGGAACATGTGGGCTTAACTGAATATACAGCACCCCTTCTTGAGTAGACCATTTAGCAATCACTATGTAGGCCAATTTTTACATAGTTGAGTAGTATGGGGCCTTAGTATATTTTTTACTGATAATTAAGTTCATCACCTTATTGTTTTTATAATTAAACAGTTGCTTTTAAAGGTAGATTAGTAAAAAATTATTTGAAGTAAAACAATATAAAATTAAGAATGTAAGTTTCTTAATTTTACATTAGATATCAATGAAGCTATATTTCCTTATTTTAAGGAAAAATTAATTTTTTTAATTCTGTGCATTTTTAAATGACAAAGCATTCATTTATTTCAGCTATATAAATACACAAATTTGAAAGTATATTTTGGCAGGGTGCTCAAAAAATTTCAGAGTAACTCAAAAATATAACTTAACCAACAATAAAATATAAATGTGTCTTCATTACCTGAAATCCTCATTTTGCTTGGTTTATTTTTTTATATCACAATTTCATATTCTGTTTAAGAACAAAGTCTTTCACTGAAAATGTGCTAAAATTTAGTACCGTGTTATTTCTCCAGAGCTACAAATATGACTTCTTTCCAACCAATATGTTCTAAATTTCTGGAAGGAAATTGACAGAACTTTCATAAAGCCACACTGAGCAATAGATCACCCAGAAGGAGTATCCCCTGCCAAAAAGAACGTGGCATTTCACCCTCTGAGAAACAAATGGACACTCTGCCCCACAGAAGGCCAGGGCTCACATGTCAGCATCACTTACTTCTTTATCCTTTCGCCGAAGGAAGCCGCTTCGTCTAGGATGTTCTGGACACTGATGCATACCTCCTGGATGGCATAGATTTTATTTATAAACCCCTTTTTTTCACTGTCCTAAAATACAATAAAGAGAGAAATTCTGTATTCCTCAGTGCTTGAATTCTTTGAATTGTCTGTCTTACATTTTTAAACTTAAATAAACTGTCTGCGTGTATATATATAAGTGGATACAGGGAGCCTGTGAGAATTTCAGGATGTAAAGGGAGGTGGAGGAAGAGTAGCCAGCATTATGGACCCGTGTTAGTATAAAGGTGGCTGCAAAGCAGGAAACTCCCTGTTGCTTGTGTCTTGATGAAGAGAACAGTTTCAGCCAGGAGGAGGGAGGTATAAAGGTGTAAGAGAGAGGTAACATCACAGAATGACCCAGTCTGCAATCTGCTGACCCTGGACCCACCATGACTCACTACTTAGCAGACCCAGTGTTTTTACCCCACTGCCCACACACCTAATCTTGGTCTTAGCTACAGATATTCCAACAGCAGAGACTGCTGGGTACAACAGAGGCCCGGTGAGCAATGAAAACTGCAAAAAGTGCCAAGGTCAACTGAAATCCACTAAGTGGACACTTCCCAGGATACTACCTTCATGATGAGATACACAGTAAGCCTGGCCCTCCTCTTAATAACAGCCACAGACTTCACACAGGAGGCGTTCTAACTAAACACTTTCCCCTCTCTTTGTGCTGTTCTTCATTTTAAAACGTATGCTGGATTTAAGCAAACGAGTGTGCTCCAGGGAACGGGTGGATGGGGATTGAGCATAAAGCACCCAGAGAGTGGTGTGAGCCTGGGGGAGGTGTGTGCATTTTGTAATTTTAGACCCAGAGGAAGAAATAGTGATGGCCTTTCACGATTGAAAATTCTGCTTAGTAGCCTGGCATCACAGGCTCTTGCCTAGGCTGTTTGGTGGAGACCATCCAACCCTGATTCCATGACTCCATTCCTCCATGCCAGCTTGAATAGCTCTGAAAGTGTAGATCCAATTTCATTACTTTAACTTCTTTTGAACACTTGCACACTGTGCCAGAACACTTGAGACCTCATGTGGCAGGCAGTGCTTGCTGAAAGCCGCCAGGAAGCTAGAATAATAATGTCGTCATGTTGCACATTTACATACTGACTTTCATTTCAGAAGAGTCTAAAGCACTGCACTGTGAACACTTGGCTGAGGCTGGCATCGTGCCACCTTCGAAACAAAAGGCAAGTGAATGACAGGTGTGTATGCAGCCTCCAAGGACATTGGTACAGTGGGACTGAGGACATGGAGGCCAGTTTTATAACAGGATCTTTAGATACCAGTTACTGAAAGCCTTTGATCCCCATGGGAGATACTGCCTACATGAGTCCTCTTGTTTATGCCGCAGTGGGCAGGCAGGCAGTGAGGTAGATGAAGTGCATAAGGTTCAACGTATAAGGAAAAGTTACGTAGTCAGAGTCCCCGCTATCTTCAAGCCATCCTTGTCATACAGACATGGGTGAATTAATTTCTTGTCTTTTTTCCTTCCCCAGTAATAAGACAAAAATGCATGATCGCGCCTATACAATTTTACAGTTTAGAATAAAACGAATATCCAGTGGCTCCTAGTTCCTTTCATAATTACAAAGTTGGTCTGCTCTGATCTCCACGGCCTTCAGTGTTCTCTCTCAGGCATTAAGTTCATTTATGTCTACAAAGTAGAGTACTCTTAACAATAGTTTTATACATACAGAATAAATCAAGCTGGAATTGAAGCATGCTGGTTATACAGTGCAAGCTCATTGAAAAATAATGTCTTACCAGTTTGAAATTGTGATGTGAAAAATCCTTTGTAATAGCAGTAAAATGTATAAAATATATAGGCATAACCTTAAGAAACGTACAGAATCTATATAAAGAAAATAGAGCTTGGCCAGTGTGGCTCAGTGGTTGAGCATCAGCCTATGAACCAGGAGGTCACAGTTCGACTCCTGGTCAGGGCACATGCCCAGGTTTCAGGCTCGATCCTCAGGGGCATGCAGGAGGCAGCTGATCAATGACTCATCATTGATGTTTCTCCCTCTCCTTTCTCTGAAGTCACTAAAAACATATTTTAAAAGAAAACAGAGATACTGTGTTTCTGCACTGGGACACAGTATTAAAAGAATGCGTTGTTTTTTTTTAGTTGAATGTGCAAGTTTAATGCAATTTCAAGCAAATCCCAATGTGTTTGGAGTGGAGTGAAATGGGGAGAATATGATGAAGTGTATTTAAAATTTGTTTGGAAGGATAAATGAGGATAACCAAGAAATTTTTGTATAAGAAAGATAATGAGAAGGCATTTATTGTACCAAATATTTAAGTAAGTAAAGTATGAAAGATGAGCATTGAAGGAGAGATTGGTGTATGATGAAGCATTAACGTAAGTCCATCGTAAAGAAAGAAGTATTATGTTACTGGTAGTTGTGTTAACTATCTTGGGAAAATTATGTTAAGTTCTATCTTAATAGATTTTTAAATCTATTTGAGATAACCCAAATCTACCCAAGCATCGACTCAAGTAGATAGCCCCAATACATTCCAGGTTAATTAGAAAGCGAAAATCTAAGTGAATTATAAAAGCAGAAGAAAATATAGGTAAATTACTGAGCTTGGAATGGGAAAGAACTCTCTAAACATAGAAGCAATAAAGGAAATCACAAGAGGAAATAACTGATAGCAAAAGTTATAGAAAATTTAAAACATTATGCCAAAAGTCATAAATTTAAAAGGCTAAGTGGGGGGGAAATTAGCAACAAATGGCAAATCAAGGGATGGGATTTCCAATATATTCAATAAGAATCTGAAAAAATATTGCAGTTTTGTTTACAATAACAGAAAAATCACTAACATTATGGTACATACAATTGATAGACTAATGAAATCGCAAAACACTATTGAAAACAATTCTTATCTAATCAAAATTTTAACAGCAGGAAGTAAATAGAGTGACATAGAGTATAATCCTTTTTTTTAATTGGTAGGCTGTAAAAAATGTGAAGGGAATGTGTCAAAATACTAAAGGTAATGGAAGTTTATCTTCTTCTTACCTTCCTATAATATTCAAATTTTTTGCAATTAATGTGTTTTACTTTTATACTCATATTCTCCAATTTCATTATTAAAGGAACGTGGGTAGAAGAAACAAATGAATTGGTACTCATTGAGCATGATTTTACATGGTTTATCTATTTTTTCTTAATGTATTTTTTGTATTTTTATACCCATCTTAAGTTATTTTTAGAAGTAAAACATAGACACTCATTAAACACTGTAAAGTGCTTTTCACATAGCTTGTTCAATCCACACAACCATTCTACAGTGTAGATATTTTCCCCCATTGCTCAGAAGAGAAAACAGAGGCTCAGGGAAAAGTGACAGAGCTTGGATTAGAATTATGACTGGCCAACTCGAGTCTGTTCCCCCCAGTATATACCAGGAGACCTTTCCCTTCCACCCAGGAAGCTTTCAGTTCCTACCCAGAATCCCTGTGAGCTAAACCAGCAGACAAGACTTAAAAACATTTGAAAACTTATATTGAAAATGCCATGACCAGCAAGAAAATGAAATCCAAAACCTTGACTCAAAAATGGGAAGTGAAAGATAGGACAGAAGCCACCAGACTGAATTTCAACAGAGAGGTGGGCAAAAGTAGGCTTACTCTGCCACTGTGACATTCTGTTGAGTTAACAAAGCTACTGTCATCATCGTGACCTGCATGTCTTTTTCCGTACGAACGACTGTAGCCCTACTTTTGCCCACCCCTGTACTGCGCTGTGCCAGTATTAAATATAGGACCCTCATTAATAAGATGTTATTTAAGGCATCAAAGACGATGTTTAGTAGATACTTTAAAATCTGAAGTGCTAATGTATAGTTATCGGCTAAAGAGTTTTTAAAATCTCTTAATTTTCTTTATTTCTTCTGCACTTTCTCCCCACCCCCTAAGCCCCTCACCACTGGCCACCAAAACCCAAAATAAGATAGTCTGTAATGTTGGCAAAGTTTTGAAAAGCAAATGTTTTGGGATAAAATTTTTATTTTAAAATCTCTTTCATCAAATTCTATATTCCTCCACTGTGGTCTCCAACCAATGAAGTAATTACTCTTTATATACGGTATATGACCCAAAACTGCAATGGGTAATGGAATTGCTCTGTGTTGCATTCCAATATTTCATACTTCTTTCACTAATGTTCAATACTTTATTAGTATAGAATAAATTGGTACATTTCTTTTATTGTCGTTTTTGCTTTCCTTTATAAACCAGCTTGGATGAAAGAAATATCATAGGGTAGTTAATCATCCAAAGGCTTGGTAGTGACACTGGTTGTTTAAAAAAAAAAAAAAATGCATTATTAAGGTTTCTTTTGAAGATGTAAAAAAAAAATTACCCATAAAAAAGAGCTATAACTATAAATCTAAGAACATGCGAGATTTATATTGTATAACTTTTTCTAATGATTCTATATAATTTTTTTTAAATCTTGTTATTATATTTTAAATAGTCCATAAAACATCAATAACTCCAACTTGAAATACAGTGATTCTTTTATATTCACCTATTTTACTATCACATATCACAACAGAAAGTTCACTATATTTTTCCAAAGAAGTATCTTCCTGGCTTTGAGATATGTAGGAAAATCTAAAGACCCAAAGAATCAATAAGAGGGTCTTACATCCTTGGAGAACCCTGTTCATTAATTTCAACCCCACCCCCCACCCCCACCCC